ACCACAGGTGCCCGCCACAGTGCCCGGCTATTTTTTGGTTGCAGCCGTCATTGTTGTTTGGTGGGTCCGGGCTGGGGATTCGAACCCGCCACCTTACGTGTACGTGGCTGGCGCCTTAGCCGGTTGAGCTATAGGCGCCGAGCCATAAGCGATTCTCTTGTCTCAGCCTCCCAAGTAGCTGGGACTACAGGTGCCCGCCACAACACCCCGCTCTTTTTTGTTGCAGTTGTCATTGTTATTTAGTTATTTAGCCTCAATTATGTGGTTGGCCCCTTAACCACTGTGCTACGGGAGCCGAGCCATCTCTGCTGATTCTTGGAGACCAGGGGAGTTCACTAGGTAGATGAGAAGGGCCACGTTAAGGAAATGGTAGTGAAGGTCCAGAACTATGGAACTGAGTAGCCTACTAAGGGATAATAAATAATTTATTAGAGCTGGAATAAGAGGTGTGTGAGAATGAACAGGCAGAAACCACCAGGTTTACTGACAAAATCCACGTGATGGGAAGTGAGGCAGAGGGCAGATTTCTGCCTTTATGGTGATGCCATTAATTAGATGCCATCGTCTACGCAATGTAGATGATGCTATGGCTTTTGAAACAATGTGCTTGCTTTTGGACACGCAGGATGAGAAGGAGCTTTAATAAGACCAAAGTGAGATGGAAGATTGGGAACTTTACAAGAGCACTCTGGCAAGCTGTGCGGTGCTGGGAACCACGAGTGCTACTGAGGGCGGTAGTCATGAACTTGGCTGAGATTTGACAACCAGTGTGGAGAATGAGGATGACAGTGTAGACTGGACTGGGGTTTGAAGGGCAACTGGAAAAGAAGAAATCGAAGAAAATGCAGAAGAGAGCCAGAACAGCCTGGAGCCTGGGAGGAAATCCAAGCAATAGAGTGAGTTTTCCATCAGTTAGGACAGTTTTGGCTGAAAATGACAGAAAACCTAATTCAAACTACTAGAAATTGTCAAGACTTCTTGACCCATAAGACTGAAAACACAAGCCTCTGGACAGGGTGGACAGCAGTATACCAAGATCAGTACGAATCACCCCAAACAGGGCTGAGGAATTCAGTAACTTTTAGCAGGTGTATAGAATGGTGCCAGGTGCCAGGTGCCAGGCATTGGTCTAGTCCAGCAGTTCTCAGCCTGTGGATCACGCCCCTTTGTAACAATGAGAATACATCGCAGCATTAGGAAGGTTGAGCACCACTATTCTAGTTAATGAACAAAATGGGCAAAAAATCCCCCCTCGGTGAATAGCACATACAAGTGCTTCTTGGTCTCCCCCTCCACATGCTTCTTTGCATTGAAGTGTTATGTGGGGGAAAATAAAGAAAGAAAATTTTAGGATTTTACAAAAACTCTAGAACCTTTCCTGGGAACTTTATACCTTTCTGCAGGAATGTCTGGAACTGCTGTACCGCCATCAAATGGAGGGTGGAGGTAGGAAGGCAGTGAAGTATGGATCCAAAACTCAAAAATCCAAAATACCACCAATGGTCCAGTGGTGGATTTAAATTAACCCAAGTTTTTGACTTAATCAAATTGAGTTGCTGAGTTCATTCAGATCATAAATACCTATAAAAATACATTTTTCAAATATCTCTGGTAAGGCTTTGTATATAACTGAATTGTACATCTTTTACATATAGATTCTGTCCAAACCTGCATTAGTCTATCTATTCTAATTAAAAAATATATAGTTTCCAATAAATGAAATCTCACACTCAGCCATTATATCTCACCAAGTACCACCAGTTTCTCATATCCACTCTTTTATTTTTTTAAAGACAGTTTCATTATGTCGCCTTCAGTAGAGTGCTGTGGTGTCACAGCTCACAGCAACCTCTAACTCTTAAGCAATTCTCTTGCCTCAGCCTCCCAAGTAGCTGGGACTACAGTTGCCTGCCACAACTCCTGGCTATTTTTTTGTTGTAGTTGTCATTGTTGTTTATCAGGCTTGGGCTGGGTTCAAACCTGGCAGCCCTAGTCAACTGCTTGAACTCAGGAGTTTGAGACCAAGAGCCAAACCATGTCTCTACAAAAAGGAAAGGGAAAGGGAAGGGAAAAGGAAGGAAAGGAAAAGGAAAACTGAGGCAAGAGAATCACTTGAGGCTCAGCACCTGTGGCTCAAGCGGCTAAGGCGCCAGCCACATATATCTAAGGTAGCGGGCTCGAATCCAGCCTGGGCCTGCCAAACAACAATGACGGCTGCAACCAAAAAAATAGCCAGGCATTGTGGCAGGCACCTGTGGTCCCAGCTACTTGGGAGGCTGAGGCAGGAGACTCCCTTGAGCCCAGGAGGTTGCTGTGAGCTATGGTGAGGAAAACAGCTTGAGATTCCATCTCAAAAAAAGAAAAAAATAGATGAGGAACAATCAGAATATCAAGTGACTTGATTCTCTGAAAAGGACACTTGAATAGAGGAGTCTTCTTATCTATTTGTATATAGATTTTTACAACTCCTCCCACTGGGTTTTCACTCGATGAACCAAACTTTCCCTCAGTATCCACACAGACACGCTTGTGCAAACAGGTTCCCAGGACATCTCTGAAGGGGAAAAGAATCCCTCCTCTAATGTGCTGATGGGTGTAGAGTGATAGGAAAGTCCATTTTCCAACCAGAAGTATTTCAGCAATCCATGAATAAGTTCATTTTCCTTCCTACTTTTTGGCCGTATTTTGACAAGAAACCCAGTGGGATACAACGGCTGAGTCAGCCTGCTCCAAATATTTACCCTGCTCCTTCTTAAGTCTTCTCTTCCCCTTCATAACATAAAACCCAGCCATGACCTGTCCTGGCACAGGTGCACATCTCCCAGCGACGGTGTACTAACTCCACAGGTGTAGCCGCTACCTAAAACACACACACTTGATCCAAAAGAGTGACATCTGCTTTCTCACTTCTGTTAATTTCTAGAAAGGAGGTGCAAAGCCACTACCAGGGATGAACTAGTGAGCTTTCACAAACTAATTCATCTACATTGGGAGTTGAACAAATGAGTAAAAAGAGATTTAAAAGATTTTCAGACAGTGAGTGGCATAGAGAGTTAAAAGATTATCAGTGAGTGGCATGCTGAGGTGTTGTGTATGAAGTTTGCTTTCATATTAATTTTAAAACCTTGCAGCATTTCAGCAACTTCTCAAATATGTGCTCCACATGCAAGTATTCTGTAGATTCCTCCAGAGCCTGGGAATCACAACCTTGCAATTATAACTCAGTTCATTTGTGCGTAGGCTGGTGTCACACTGGGGTTATATTTCAGTTGATGCCACTTCTACAGATTCCCAAATTCTTCACACACAAAGACTTCAGTTAAGAAAAAATTCTTGCATTAGCAATTATTTCTATTTTGGATCTCATGTATAGTTTTTGCAAACCTCAAGGATCTGCAGCCATGCAACTGGTCTAAGTTAGAGATATAGAGAAAGCCATTGTACTCGTTATGTCCCTTCCTCAGTCTACTAAACACCAAGACTGGCACAATCACTTCCTTTTTTTTTTTTTGAGACAGAATCTCACTATTGCCCTGGGTAGAGTGCTGTGGCATCACATCTCACAGCTATCTCAAACTCTTGGGCTAAGGCGATTCTCTTGTCTCAGCCTCCCAAGCAGCTGGGACTACTGGTGCCCACCACGACACCTGGCTATTTTTGTTGTTGTTGTCATTGTTTAGCAGGCCCCGGCCGGGTTTGAACCCACCAGCCCCAGTACATGTGGCCAGCACCCTAATCACTGAGCTAAGGGTTCCAAGCCTGGCACAATCACTTTTAGTAACTTCTTACAAATTTTTTTTTTTTTTTTTTTTTTGAGACGGAGCCTCAAGCTGTCCCCCTGGGTAGAGTGCCATGGCATCACGCTCACAGCAACCTCCAACTCCTGGGCTCAAGCGAGTCTCCTGCCTCAGCCTCCCAAGTAGCTGGGACCACAGGCGCCCGCCACAACGCCCGGCCATTCCTTGGTTGCAGCCATCATTGTTGTTTGGCGGGTCCGGCCTGGGGATTCGAACCCGCCACCCTAGGTGTATGTGGCTGGCGCCCTAGCCGCTTGAGCCACAGGCGCCGAGCCACTTCTTACAAATTTTAATCTACTCTACCTATGTTGCTAAGTAAACAAATTTTACATAATTTTTCAAACTTTGTCTTTCATGATGGGGATAAAACAGCCTGGAGGTTCTTTAAAACTTAAAAATTAATGTCTTCCTTATGTACTGTGCAGACCCTGTAATTAACTCTTGTCTCCTAAAAGCTTAAGAATGATGAATAGATCCAGGCAATGTGTAATTTCTTTTTATCATTCGAAATGCTACACAAATAACTGCGCTGCAATTTGTACTATAGAGCTTAAAACAAAGATTACATCTTCCCAACAACCTCTTGTTCGTTTTATTGAGTATTACTATATGGAAAACATCACAACAGACCTGGTTACAGGAAGCATTACTATGCACAGGTAGTGTTATCAGATATTAAATACATATATTAAAACATTATCTGAAATTCAAACTTAACTAGGATCCCATTTTTTAATTTGCTGAATTTGGCAATCTGGTAAAAGAGCCTTATCTTCAGCAGACTTACTATTTAGTAGAGAAATCAATGAATAATCATAATATAAGGCATGTTAAGTCCAGTCATAGGGTCAGGAGGAAAAGGTCTCCATTATCTACAATCGAAGAGTGCCTGGAAGAGACGGCAACTGATGCAGCTCTTGAACATGGGTGGTTTAACGTGATGATTTTGGAGTTCAAGTGTCCTGTACTAAATTCCAAATTAATCACTCACTAGCTGTGTGGCACCGGACAAGTTACTCAAGCACTCTTTACTATGAAAAGATACCAATACCTACTTTACAAGGTGGTTTAAGGATCAAGGATAACATACGCACAAAGCACCTGGGAACATGGGAGTCACCCACTGGTAATATTATTACAATTTAAAACATCACGTGGCAAAGAGGAGACAAATATTCAGATGTTAATGGTATGCAGTAATAGTAATATTGAATAAGTAATTTTATTTCCATGATCTATTTACACTGTACAGACACTATTGAAAAGCACCCTACAGGTTCACAGTACATTACAATATATTTACGTTAAAAATAGATTCCTTTATAAAAGGTTCATAGTACATTGGCATGTCAACATGTGACAAAATTCTCAAAGCATGTTACCAATTCTGTGATAGGAAGAATGTTTCCAAGTGTTGTCAATTTCACAATCACAAGTCACCATTTGAGTTTTAAATACATATGTTTAAATGAAAAATGAATTCTACAGTGGAAAGTACTTGAGGCAATACTTATTAGTTCCTTAACATACGTATCTTCATGGAAATGTGTCACAATAATCCAGAACATCAACTTATTTTGCCCAAAGAAATATTTCACTAAGTTCAGCAGTCCAGAAATTCTGATCATTTGTTTTCTACTTTTTCTTCTTCGCTGGTTCCCCTGGTTCTACTTTGCGCTTTTTAGAGGTGTGCTCATCTTTTTCATCATCTGATTCCAACGTCTCCTCCCCTTCTGGCAGAAGCCTAGCTTTCTTAGCATTCTGTGGGGCATCATCACCATTGTCCTCATAAATGTTAGACCATTTTATAGCCATATCCAGCTCTGGAGGCGGAGGTTTCTTTTCAGTAGTGTAGGTCTCAGGAGGTGGGACATAGTTTGACTTCCATATTTTGAATTCTTTTGGAGGCT